ATTTGGAATTTCTACACAACACATTTCTAATATTAATTTATGTATTAGGTAAAAATAAATAAAATAGGCGGCGATGGGGTGATAAGAAATCGGAAATACTTAGCGGTTTTTAAGGCACATGATTTGCAGCCCAATTAGATTGAGAATGGAAAACTAGAAAAACACGATGAGTTGAGAATGGCAGAGATTTGCAGTTAAAAATATTGATAAGTGGAAAATTTGCTGCGCAGGAAGTATGTAGTACTTAAAAGAGTATGGTTTTGGAATTCAACCACATAAAAAAAAACAATTTTGAAAAACGCAAGCAAGGATTTCAAAAAACTTTTTAAAGAAAACAGATTGGCTTGATTTATTGTACGATAAGCCAATTCGTGGAGACAGTAAGGCAAAATTACAAAAATTTTAATAAACTTTTTTAATGTTTGGACAAGATTTTGAATTGATACTCAAAATGTTGGCTTAGAGTTGAAATCCCTATTTCGATAGACTAGTAGGGCTGGGCGTCCCATTCGGATAATCCGAATATTCGAACATCTAATTAGAAAATTCCAATATCCGTATGAGCGAAAATTTGGTTAACAAAAGGAACGTTTATTAACCGGATATCCGCAAAGCAAAATCCACTGATATTAACCGGAAATCCTGATTATCTATATCCGTACACACGAATATCTGCACGGATATCCTAATATACGGATAGTTCTAGCCCTAGTTAGCAGTTTAACTTAAGTGGGTTTTCATATTTAACAGAACCGAACCATTTTTTGAAGTGGTTTTCGGTTCGGTTTTTGGCATGTCAAAATATACCGAACCGAACCGAACGAAGCCCAAAAAAAATTGGCGGTTTGGCGTTTGAATTGAGTTTTCCGTTGAATTGTTCTTATACACATGTACGTACGTATGTACATATCGATGGTCCTCTGTAATAACGACACAACTCAAAACTCATAAAAACAAAACCCTTACTACTGTTACGCAGTGATGTGTGTACTTAAAGAACCGGCTCTTTCCAGTTCTCGGTTCCAAGGTGAACCGGCAAATTGGACCGGTTCTGGTTCTCAAAAAAGTGGTAACGGAAATACGCCCTATCGAAAAAGCTTAACAAGCGATTTTAAAAGGGTTTGTACAAAAATTCAATTTCATTTTATATTTTTGTTAAAAGGTGAAGTAAAGTAAATATGTAATTAAACATATTACATTCATTCCTTAGTTGATATTTGTGTTGCAAAAATTTTATAAAAATAAAATTTGTTCATGAAATGAAATTTATGTAAGCGTTTTCCACGTTAATGTTTCGTTTAAAACAAAGTAATACTTCCATTTAAAAACATGATTTTTCATTCAAATCGCTAGTGACAGCGAATTGAAAGCGTCAAAGATGAAGAAGAAAGCTAAAAAACGAATTTCAAGCTGATATCTCCATTTTAGACTTTATGCCAAAACAATCAATTTGCGCTTCGTGACCGATTTTCGGTTCTGTAGGATCCGTTTTCGGTTCTATGGGAATCGAATTTCAGTTCTTCCAGAACCGCTTTACGGTTATTTTGGAATCGAATTTTTCCCGAACCGTTTTCGCTTCTCTTGGAATCGAGTTTCATGCTACAACAAAAAATATATAAATATGTTTTCGAAACTTGATGCAAAACTCGGAAAAATTGAATAAATTTTCATGCAAATATTCAACATTTTAATCAGATTTTTTAGAATTTTTTTGAGTATGCAGTTTTGTAGCGCAATAAATTTTATTATAATAAGGCTAGGGCTTACCGCTTTTCACGCATACAAAAAAAAACTTTCGTAAATACTTTGTATGGAAAAAATGCAAAACACCTTCAACAAAAAAATTCTGAAAAACACACGAGATTTTTGACTACCTTTAAACTTACACAATTCCAAAATATATGAATAAAAAGTTGAAATTTTGCATGGAAATGTATTGAATTCTCGCGATTTTTGCACAAATTTTCATGAAAATTTTCAACATTTTAACAGATTTTTACAATTTTTTTGAGTATGCAGTTTTGTAGCCCAATAAATTTTATTAAAATAAAGTCAAGTTGAAAGAAGCCAGAACTTACCGTTTCTTCCATACAAAAAAAATTCAAAAATACTTTGTACGGAAATAATGCACAACACTTCAACGTGATTTTTGACTAACTTCAAACTTGCAAACTTCCAAAAAATCGGATTAAAAGGTGGAAATTTGCATGAAAATTTATTGAATTCTCGCGAATTTTTCACAAATTTTAGAAAACGTTATTTTATGTCTTTCGTTGTAGAATGAGCCATATTTTTATAAAAAAAAATGCAGGAAAATGTTGAATAAAAATTGTTGTATATATTGTGAAAAATTCTCTGCGCCAATACTTTTTTCCGGCAGTGTATGTTTTATTCTATGGGAATGGAATTTTATGAAATTTCGAGGAATTTCATCGGAGAGAACTCAAAAATTAGCTGGTTTCCTTGTTGCTGTCTCTCGGAGGAGAAGCTTGGCCAAAACTTAAAAAAAGTGTATACACAAATATTTATTTTATTTTTAATTGATAGACATAGAACGTCTTTGAACCCATTTTGATAACTTATAGCTGATTGAGGTGAGTTCTAGTTGGGCTGTATGTGAACTCTTCTATATAGTGGGCCTGTACTGATTTTTTATTTTTTATTTTTTTAAAAGATCAGTTGTTGAGGGCCGTATGCCATAAACGCCAACCATACGTGCTGTGCGTAACCGTTAAGTAGATTAGGATCACAAGTAAATATGTATAGTAGATACAAGTGGCATGAAGTGTCTCAAAGGCATCATATTTCACAATATACGTATATATATATATATAATTATATGTATATATCGCACATTTGCGGCAAGAGTGCCATAATCCAAAAAATCAAAAACTCGAGAAAAACGGCTTTAAATTTTGAATTTATGAATACTCCCATAGTATAAATTAGGGCTGTGCGATTATTCGATTACTCGAGCAAGTTGGTTAATCAATTATTCGGTTAATCAATTACTCGAGTAATCAAGATTTTGATTACTCAAAACGATGATTAATCGAGTTACTTGAAATATGATTACTCAAAAAAAATAATTTTGCTCGTTAAAAGCATGATAAAAACATTACAAGGTAAATTCATTCTCTCAATTCGTCGGCCATGATTTTGTTCTGACGTTTGCAAACATTTTAAAATCATATAAAACTGAAAATAAAAAAATGAAATTGTTCACAATTGTTGTTGTTTGAGATTTAAAATGAGAATGTGTGTGTGAGCCTGAGCTCGAATTTTAAAATTATATTGTTGGCAAACATCAGACTGCCTCTCAATGATTTTACCTTGTAATGCTTTTATCATGGTTAAAAGAGTTTGCTTTGTAAAATGCTTATTTTCTTTTTTTACATTCTGTATATGAAAAAAATTTTTTGTTTTAATTTTTGAAAACAGAAGCGTTGTTTTCAAAGTATCAAGGAACTTTAACTACTTTACAGGCTAACCTAATATTCACGCACGCCGCCAATTTATTGTCAAAAATTTCTCATGCTCATGCAACTTGTATGAGATTCAACCGAAATTGAACGGCGTGCGTATGAAGCTAACTCAATTTCCAATTTTTGTTCTGCGTGACATTTTGATTTGACGTTTCGCTCAATGAAATCAAATGCAAACGCATGCAAGTCAATTTCGGGTGACGCAAAAAAACAAATTCGACGGCATGCGTACCAAAACGCAAGCCGCGAATATTAGGTTAGCCTGTTATACATATGTAAAGAGTTGAAATGTTGATTACTCATTTTACTCGAAATGTTGATTAATCATAAAGCAACTACTCAAATATTTTTGTTTGTGGTTAATCAAAAATCTTGATTACTCGAGTAACTGAACTTTTGAATAATCATAATTTTCAATTAATCGAATAATTGAGTTATTTACTTTATGATTAATTAAAATTTTGAGTAATCAATTAATCGCACAGCCCTAGTACAAATTAATACATATTTTGTTCTAGTGAGATACTAGTAATCGATACAGCTATCAAATTCTTACACAACGTAGCAGCATACTTAGCCCAATTTTTTTTTAATTTGTATTTATTTTTTGATTATGACACACTTGCACATACATACACACATACATATGCACATCAATGCAATTATGCTACGTCCATAATTTTTTATTCAAAGCGAATTCATGAGATTACAAAAATCGCTATGCCGCGTATTTGCTGCGGCACCGATAGCTTGGACTGGCAACGAGTAAAGCAGTTAATACGACAAGTATTCGCCAAAGAGAATAGTGTCGAAATTTTGGTATGCAACTACAATGAACCGGTGGTAAGTGGACTTGCGAGTAGATATGTATGTACATACATTCCTTCATATGTAAACAACTCTACAAAATGCCGATTCTAATTTGTAATTTTAAATTTTTTCCCCACCAAGCAAATTCCGCCAAAATGCCAAATTACCGAGGTCAAGGGCAACATATTCAGCGCTCCGCTGGAATTCTCTATGGTGCATTCGACTAGCGCTGACTTTGCCATGTCCAGTGGTTTGGGTTTGCAATTTAAGTGCAAATTTGGACAAGTCAACGAGTTGCTGAAGCAACATAAACATGTTGGGAATGTGGCAGTATTGAAGGATAACAATCGCTTCATATACCATTTAATAACAAAGGAACGTAGTCATGAAAGGTGCACATATCCAGCGATTTACTATGCACTGATGTCATTGCGCGAGCATATGGTAAAGCATAATGAAGCATATTGGAAATTAAGTTACATACTATATGTTTTTTGTTGTCTTACCAGGAACAAAATAACGTAAACAAGCTTGCAATACCCAGATTTGGCGGCGAAGTTGATCGTCTGAGTTGGTTGCGTGTTAAAAATATTGTGGAATTTGTGTTTGCCAACACTGAAGTGGAAATCATTGCATACTATTACGATCCACCCGAAGTTGTGCGAAGACGTTCACGCGATTCGCGTTCACGTTCGCGCACATTGGAGTCTATGGTTAGCCGGATGTCACTTTCACGAGACTTTCCATGAAGTGGCAGCAACAATCAAAGTCTTAAGTTGAAATATGAAATTTATGTTATACTTAGTGACGTTTTGTTTTACTTTTATACCCTTAATTTATTAATCTCTTTTTTAAATTACCTACTTATTTATATATAACACTGACTGATTTATAAAAGCTCTAAACTTGTAGACTTGATTCAGAAAAATCAAACATGAAATTGAATATGAAAAACTTAAGAAAAAACGACTAGCGCTGACTTTGCATTTGTCATGTTTGTATACATGCATACATATGTAATTTGTGCAAATCGGGTTATTATATTATGGTTTAATATATTTATTGGCAAAATATTTATGTGATACAAATAGTTTTCGGATTTCCAAAGTAAAAGACTAATATTTGTTATACATCCTTACAAAAATATGCATATTTGTATCATACCGCTCTAAGCGACATTTTCCAGAAATGTTACCCCAATTTGAATTTTCGGTTAAACTTCTATACCAAATTTAAAGCGATATCATCAGAGATACGCGAGTTATTAGCATCTATAAAACAGCTCTGAAAACAAGCTCTTTCTAAAACTTTGCTTAGACAGGGCGTTTCGCAATAAAATCACAAAAGGCAATAAAATCTGCCAGCAATGAAAATTCATTTGTTAACATAATTTCAACCTAAAAATAGGTTTATGCACATAGCAATAACATTCGCAAAGTCAAAAGATTATGATTTAATATCCCTAATATTTTTAACATCAATTTAACCGCAACAAACCTTAGAATAAGATTTTACATTAAGCGCTATAAGAGCGATGTCGAATATTTCCACTGTGAGAATCACAAACCTATGCAATAGTGATGTAATAAGTGCAATGTACACTTGCCGCACGAAGTAAAGACTCAGCAGGTTAACACAATGACATTTCTAAACAATACTGAAGTCAAATACAAAAGCTCAATTCTAAGTTTTAACAAAAGAATGTAATTTAATAGTTTTTGGTAACTACATACAACACTGTTATTTGAAGTGAATAAAAATCAAATTAAAGGCATTCCAAGAAAACGAGTTTTTCTCCATCTAGAAAACACTTGTGCTCTTTCATACTACACTATAAAATTTGTGATTTAACTAATTTCGATTCTAACAATATATGTATATTCTAGATCAGTTAACAACACTCAAACACCAATTATCCTTTCACTCAACTGTTGTTCAAAATTTCTGCCCCAACATGTCATCGGATGCGAAATTCAAATTGTCTGAAATCGAAGGTGATCTCTTTAGCGCCCCAGAGGAACATTCGCTTGCACATTGCGTTGGCGCCGACTTTGCAATGGGTGCAGGCATTGCTGTAAAGTTCAAACAAATCTACGGACAAGTGACAAACTACTGGCCCAGGATGTAAAATCTGGCGGTGTAGCCGTTTTACAAGATAAAGAACGTTACATTTATTATTTGGTGACAAAGCCACAAAGTTGGGGTAGTCCTACCTATGATAGCCTGCGCTCATCACTGACTGCTATGCGTGAGCATATGGTAAGCAAATGCATGTGAAGCTAGAACTTGTAAAATATGTGTTTTTCTTTCGACAGCGTAAAAATAATGTACACAAATTAGCTATACCCCGTATTGGCTGTGGTATCGATGGTCTTGAATGGGACAAAGTAAGCGCCGAATTAAGCAAGGTGTTCGGTGACGAAGAGCTTGAAATTGTAGTTTACAATTTTGTACCTAAGTAATGTCATGCAGTAAGTGATAACTTGAATATGGAGCTGATCATTTACTTAGATTGAGCGGGATGACTTCGTTAATTAATGCTAAGCATTACTGGCAAAATGTATATAATGTATGTAGGTATATTATGCATATTATGCATATTTGTACTAGAACCTGAGACTTGTTGTAATAAATGTTAAAATCCATATATTACAGTTAATTTTTAAACAAAAAACAACAAACTTGAATGTTTAAATAAAAATTTAGTACTACTGTTTGTTTCTTCACGATCAAATTATCGGATCTAAGGCAAATTAGTATGGGAGTACCCACGAGGTGTTATCGAAAACTGTTCACGTGCTCCAAAGTTATCCGGTAACATACATAAAACAATAATATATTCCGAGGAATTGAAGTTTTTAGAAAGGAATGCAAGGTGGATTCTATTTTTGTATATTTGTACTAGAACCTGAGACTTTTTGTAATAAATGTTAAAATCCATATATTACAGTTAATTTTTAAACAAAAAAACAACAAACTTGAATGTTTAAATAAAAATTTAGTACTACTGTTTGTTTCTTCACGATCAAATTGTCGGATCTAAGGCAAATTAGTATGNAAAAACAAAAATATATCCGACGAATTGAAGTTTTTAGAAAGGAATGCAAGGTGGCTTCTTGTCTCTCAGGAAGGTTTGGGCTTTTAAATCCTGATTTTTCTACTTGGCTGCTCCTTTTTTTGAAGTCGTTAAAAATATTATTGATATGCTTCAAAGGCGAAGGTGGGAAAGCAATCAATTTGAAATCCACATAAGCAAAATCGTTTTAACATTTTTTTCGAAATTCCGCTCTGTACAAATGTGAGTAGATTACTCACCAATGACTAAAAATAATTTAAAAGCAACTACATCATCAATAAATTAGTTTCTGGGCTAAATAAAAATATTAGATAGGGCCTTTCTACATTAAGGTAACGATATTATGTAAAGCAGGGGTTCTTAAACTTTTAAGATAATTGAACCCTTACTAAACACTTTTCATTTCATGGAACTCCACATCAAATAACAAAAATCAATATGAATAAAAGCTTTTACTAGAAATAGTATACATACTTTAAGTTCTAATGTGAAGAATAAAATTGTTTCACAGTTATTATTTATTGTATAAAATAGTAGTTAGATATGTCTGAAAGCTGTATACGCATTGCTGGGGTAGCATCCAATTTCGACCTTAATTTGTTTTTTGTATAATTGTAAGCTGAAAACCCTGTTGACAGAGTACGGGGGCATTCCAAAACGTCAAAATACAAAGCATCAGTCTCTTTTATTAC